GATGGTACCGTTAGTAGTCGTTAACGGTATCGCCTGACATCTTAGGGACGTTGAACGGACCGCCTCTTCTCAATATGAATCATTTGCCTGGGCATCAGCCATAGCACCGATATCTAAGGGGGACTTTATCGCATTAACGTGAATACGTGATAAAGCGTCCGCAACACAATTCGACTTGCCTTGGACATGCTGAATGTCAGCCGTGAACTGTGAAATATAGTCCTAGTGTCTGGCTTCTCGGAGTGAGTAACGGTCAGACTTAGTATGCAAAGCATATGTAAGAGGCTTATGGTCCGTATGTAATTAAAATCTCGACCTTCGACTGCATGTTTCAAATGCTTAATGGCGTTGTAAGCTAACAGCAGCTCGCGTCCAAAAGCACTATATTTGGTTTCTGTGGGTGTAAGGCGTCGAGGGTAAAATTCAAGAGGTTACCAAAACCCAGAAACCTGTTGTTGCTAGACCGCTCCAAGTGCAAAGTCTGAAGCATCAAACGCTATACTAAGCGTGGCTGACGGTACAGGATGCAAAAGCAGCGTGATCTGCGCTAAATATGTCTTTACCTCTTGGAATGCTACTCGTGCGGCATCCGTAAGCCTGAGCTTACGTGGATTACCACAAAGTAGGTCCGTAAGAGTTTGCAATCGTTCAGCGGCGTGTGGGATGAATCGTCTATAGAAATTTAACAAACCCAAAAATGCCTTCAGGTCTTTGACTGAGGATGGTTAAGTGTACTCTCTGATAGCACGTACTTTATCCTTGCATGGTAAAATACCTTCATGTGTGACCTTGTGGCCAAGTAACATCAGTTCCTTTTTGCCAAGCTCACATTTATCGGAGTTAACCACAATGTTATTATCAGATAAACGCTGAAATAGCAAGGTAAAATGGTGATAATGTTCATCTACATTGGAGCAGGCAATAAGAAAATCGTCAATGTAAACGTAAACAAAATCTAAATCTCGAGTTAAACTGTCGATAAACCTGTGGAAAATCGGAGCAGCATTTCGCAAACCAAAATGCATACGTAGAAAATCAAACAGACCAAAAGAAGTCGTGACAGCAGTCTTTTTGGCATCTTCAGTGGTGACCAGGATCTGATGATAAGCTCGTACCAGATCGATCTTAGAAAAAAATAGTCTTGTCATGAAGTGAAGCCGTAATGTCATGTATACGCGGAATGGGATAACTACCGAAACGAGTCACTGCATTAAGTGACTGATAGCCGCCACATGGTCGCCAGCTAACGCTGTCTTTTTAAGAACCATGTGTAGAGGAGAGACCCATGGACTATGAGAAGGACGTACGGTATATTTTGAAGTTAACCTGTTGAATTCACGCTTAGCAGAAGCTAATTTGTCCGGTGCCAGTCGGCGAGGTCGTGCCGTAAATGGTGGACCCTTAGTGACTATGTAGTGTGCAATAAAATCAGTCACTAGTGTTAAGTCCTCAATAGCTTTAGTCAACGTGGGAAATCGGGCGATCAATGTCTGGAAATCCACAGGAATATTAGGCATTAAGCCCGTGATTCGGTAAACGTCTGTTCGGGCTTTGAGACCCGTGACTTTGATATTCGACGCTGGGTTGATGAACTGAGTCCTACGTGAATCGACATGCAAATCAGAGTACTGCAAGAAATTGATACCCAGTATTCCAGTGGGAACATTCGCAAGAATGAACGTCCAGTACTGCAAGAAATTGATACCCAGTATTCCAGTGGGAACATTCGCAAGAATGAACGTCCATGGATGCCGTCGTTGCCCTCCCAGGTTGATCGTGAATGGTCTTGTTCCAAAAGTTGGAGTGGGAGTGCCATTCGCAGCGCATAGCCAAAGCGTCGTAACTCGTGGCCTGCTGCTACCGATAGGAAAGACTGATACTTGGGCTCCCGTGTCTACGAGGAACCTAGCGTTCGTGTGATGGTCACGTATGAAA